GCTCAGTAGGCACCGGAGGACGGGTCCATCCACAGCCTGGAACACCAGCAGCAGCCGTTAAGTGGCAGCTCCGGCCGGAAACAATCATTTCCTGAAAATAATACATATTGCTAAGCTACAACTGCAAAGAAATCATGACAGCATTCATTAAACGAGATCATACCTTACAGAACAAAGCTTTACAGACAATTCTGGCTCAGAACCATAAACATTCATTGCCCCATTGTTTCTAGAAAAGCACTGCTATTACATGACAAGAGGTATAATCTTTCAGGAACACTGATTGGTTCGTTGTGTAGCCAAACCTGAGTTTACTGTGCATTCCTTACATTCTTGACAAAAAAAAGGTTATAAAGTCTTTGGCCTTTTCCAAGTCTCTGCCTCCTACTCTCTACCAACTGGATTTCACACAAGCTTTTGCTATAAAACTACACGTCAAGCAGCCGTGCATCTCAGCCAGTAAACTCATTCTGCCCTGGACAGGCTGACAATTGAAATGTTTCCATCTCACCTTCTCTTCAGGTGCAGAACTTAGCCACTGTGAACAAAGGGGAAATCAATCACTGTTCACCAATCAGCTAAGCTCTGCACCTTGTCAGAGAGGTCTCCGTCTGAGCATAATTAAAAACCAGATGAGGTTCTTCCACGTTTGCTCCGTTTGTGTTCTGAATTTCTTTTCTACCGACGGACAGGGTTCCAACGTAGTTCTGAGGCAAGCATGACAACTTTCATAACAGCAGCCATGGTCATGGCTCTGTGGTAATCCCTGGCAATGTGATTTTAATTTTAAGTCACAAATCAGCATGCCAGGAACCCAAACAGCCACAACACTATGGGAAACCTTATGTGGTCATTCTCCCTTTGCACGCTCAAGTTTAAAACAAGAACATTTCATAAGATAACGTAACGTAACAGACACAGCAAGATGAAATCTAGAAGTGTTGCCCCCTTAAGGTAGCTGACTATGTACAATTATTTGGATCACCCAGTTGCCTTTCACAGTACTACAGAAATACATGCTAATTCTAGATGTCTGATGGCAAATATACAGCAGCAAAGCATTACTATCAGATTGGCAATCAAACCTTTTTACTTCAATGTAATCTCGCTCTATATAAGAAATGGTGGGAAGAGACCTTCCCTCCACGTTGCAGAATAATCCTTTCTAACTGCATACATGTTTTCTGGCCTTCGGTGCAGTTCAAAGCACTTGGAGGCATTTAGTGAACTATGAAGATACTGAATATGCTTTGAATAGGAGCTGTGATGAGATATTTGTGGTTGAGGGGGAGGATTTTAGACATGCACAAGCTGAGCGTGACTCTGCATGCAAACATTTTGTTGTTGTTGCCCTTCTAGTTTTAGAAAGCGACTCCCCATCACCGGCATGCTGGCAATCTAAGCCTCTTCCAAGCCCACCACAGAGTTTTCCTGGCAGGCACAGTTCTTGTCTATATCCCAGAAGAACAGGGCTATTCATAAATAACTTGTTTGCCCTGCATCTGTCCTATTTCATATAAATAAAGTAAATGCCGCAGGCTCAAACGGAACCTGATTTCAAGCACTCGCCACATGTGTAGGCTTGAATGGAAGTGGAATTAAGATTCCTCTTCAGTACCAAAAACTGAGCAACAGTTTTCCTGAACTAGATGTCTGAATTCTGATACCACAAATCGACTGTAAAATTATGTGAACGACCAAGAGAATCAGTCTGGCAGATGGGTTGTATCATAAGGCAATCTAAGGAATCCTTGATCTTCATACCAAATCTAATTGGCAATGTGTTAAATAGCCATGTACAAAAAAACCATAGGGTTACCTCTTAGAGGGTGTTAAAATAGTAAAATATTTACTTCTTTCATCCTATCTTAATGCTGTACAATGTAAAAGACCAGTTTATAAGCATATGAGAAAATGTCTCCATTCTGCATCTTTCTTGCAGTCTTGCTTTTTTTCATCTGTTAGTGAAATGACTTCCCCAGTTGCCCCTTAGCCATTAATTTAAAGGAAATCAAAATAAAGTCACATATTATAAATAAAATGTGCACGCACAACGCCCATTAGTGCATGCTCGTAAACAGTTCATTACTTCCTAGTGAGGTCAAGACTAATCTTACTTACCTAAAAGGATCTGACTACTCTTGAAGCAAAGTCAAGTCAGCTACATCTGTTGTCAAGCACGATTCTGGCATCATTTGCTTGTTTTAAAATGCATTACCATGTCCCATGCAGACATGGATTCTTTTAAACAATTCCACTCCCCCCACCCCCCCCAATCAACATCATGCTTTCTTTTTGCTGCCCATGTTCAGCTACGATCATGTTTAGGAAGAAAATGTAAAACACTGGTAGAAGACTGGGACTGAAAGGGGCCACCTGGTCCTGAGCCATCGCATGCAGTACTTTGCCATGTGATACACCCCTGTCTCATGAAGGCAATTGCAGGTCTCAATATAAAAGCCTCCCTGCACTCAGGAGTATCTGACACAGTGTTTCTAAACCCTGGGTCATGACCCAACAGTGGGTTGTGACAATATATTAAAGGATCCCAAGCATACTGCAAAAATGGATTCTCCTTAAAATGTGGGAAACTGTGGCTTTTCCCGTGCAGGCTGACAGAGTTCCAGCCGCCCCCCGGCCCACAAACCCACCGTCTGCCCCACACACTGAGGGCTGGGGCCTGTGGGGCAGTGGGTCAGGACTGGCTATCAATGTTTACACATGGGTCCTGGTGCAAAAAAGGTTGGAACCACTGATCTAACGTACTGCATTTCAAACAGGTTTAACAAGAGTGATTCTCTGAGCTGAGTAGCAGCAAATCCTGCCTTGTGCCAAATATTACTATTTCCAGTGGGGTCCATATTCTCTCTCTTGCTATAGGGAAACTTGAGCATGAAATATTTTAATCAAAGAAAAATCACCTCTTCAAAATAACATCTCGGCCACCACTTTGGCTGAGGACATATCCATTTGTTCTCTTGCTGCAGCAAAGCATTTATGGGCAAGTTCTTGTTGTTTTGCATCTTCATTCACCATTAATTCTCCATATAGATACACACCCATTGCCTGCAAATAGAAAGAAAATACCTATTCTTTCCATAACCAATTACAGCTGGCTTTTTGTTTTCTTAAATGCAAATGTGATCCTCTTCGCCCTTGAGACAATCCTTGTAGTACTGGCTTTCATTTGATGTGAAAGACCACTTGTTTTTGAACATGTACACATTTTTTTCCCTCCAGAAAAAATTCCAACTCTGAGGCTATTCAGCCTAAGGAAACTTGTCTGCATGTTGCATTAAGTAAGTTACAAAAAGAACATTTCCACTGGAGATAGATAACTATTAGCTAGAATCAGGCTTCTTATGTTAGGAAATGCTTTCCAGCTCCATTTTCCCCACTGCTTTTCAGGTTGAAATCTGTGTTTTCTTTCATCAGTAGCAGAGTTGTTGCCAAATGCCCCTTGCGTAGGAAGTCTGCCTTCTGCTAAGAGAACAGAAATGTGAACCATTTTTATTGGTTGTTTTTCTGTCCAAATTGGGAACTTTCCAAAAGTGGCCCAGGAGAGGGCACATCAGTTGAAACAATCAATTCTGCAAGGTCTATGTGACAGTTTTTGGCAACTGAATTCAGTGGGAAATAGTAGGTTTGTTTTAGGCTGTATCCACTTGAAGGGTGATCTCTGTTTGGTAGGGAAAAGGCAGCCTCCTCCCACTGCCAATTTTGGAATAATTTCAATCAGGAAAGAAAATTAAGATTTTGGGAATCACCTGCAAAACCTTCCAGCTGCTATAACAGCACTAGGATGTTACCCTTATTTTTCCAGCATCCTGAGTTAGATTTGCAGGATCAGGACCAAGAAACTGAGCTGACAATAACAAGACTCCTGAAATAAGCAAGGACTTTCATACACGAACAGAAGTTTGTAGACTTGGTCCCATCACATTGACTTGAGACTTTAATATGTTGACAGGTTCATATGTTAGCAACAGTCCAATTGAAACCCTGCTTATTAGTACAAGCTGACTACAGTTCACACAGTGTAATACCATTGAGTGCCAGAAAGGAGAATGTAGGTAGCATTCTGGCAAACACTGCTTTTCATTTAATATATCTCGATAATTTATGAAGCTGATCTGGACCTACTGGAGTTTGAGAATCAGCAGTTCTGGGGCAGCTGCACTAGGCAGGCACTAACCAGGGCTGTTTCCTTTAATGGAGAGTTTGGAAATTCTTGGGGCTTCTTCTGAATAGGACTGACCTCCATATAGTTCTAATCATTTCCCCCAAAATCCAAACATGAAAATGCAGAACACACTAGTTTTCTGTTATTCCCAAACAGATTGAATAGTCACATTTGCATTTTCCCCAGACTTTTAAAATAGCCAAGTCTTTCAAGATCGGTAAAGGCAAGAAACTGCTTTGACTTCACATGCAATCATTCCAGAACTTAGTTGTGCCACAGACTATGTACCGCTGGAGTAAATTAAATGAAGGATATCAAAGATTGCAGCATAAAAAAACACTGTAGTTATGGTTTCAAAAATTCTTTCCACACATAGCAGAAAAATGTTAATCCTTATTTGGCATAATCACTGCCTTAAATATACGGCAGTTCAGTTTAACTTTTAATGTAGAGCTGAAGCATAAGTTGCTTTTCACTTTCCTTTTCTCTTTCCACTTGTACTGGCACAAACTGCACCCACTTTACAGAATAGCCAGGTACAGACATTACACTTTTACATGGTATAAGTGATCAGAAACCAGTTTATACCCATAACAGAACAGAAGTTTGGCACATGTAGACTGGTTTAAAAATGGCGGAACTTGGTCTAAGATTTGACCTCCCTGCCGCACCCCCCCGGGCAAATGTACGTTCTGTTTGCTACCAATCTGAACTCTGCCTCTTACAGAAAACCACGGAGCTTAAATCGATTCCACCCTGGGCTTTCTGAATGTCTGTACCTAGCCAATGCATACAATATACAAACCCATCTGCACAATTGTTTATTATTATTATTATTATTATTATGTAGACATTTAGAATAACTTGTCTGCTAAGGATTTGGACTTGTGCCCGGGAAGGCAGGAATACAGGAAGTGGATGCTAGATTTGGGGGGAAAGTACTGTAAAAACCGGGGCATTGCGGTGTGTTTGTGTGTGTGATTGGACATTAACATTCTCATAACATTTTGCAACTATAGTGAGAATTGTTACAGCATAGTGTGTGGCATGTAGGCACATATATACTATATGAACTTAGAAACATCATGCATAAGTTTTGAATTTGTTATGCTTTGTAAGATTTTTGTAATTGATTACTTATGCACAAATGATCCTAGGGGGTTATTTTAGCACAGTCATAGAAGGAATCAGATATGCATTTGAACTACAGGGATACAGTGAGTAAAAATAAATATGAGTAACCGCTTACGAATGAATGGTTAGATATACAAAAGCCTGATACTTAACTACCACTTAACATGCTTAAGTTTAGATACAGAACCTCAATGTGACTGCCTCGCAGCCTCAAACCTTCAGGTGCCTACAGACCCTGTGTGCACTAGTAAAGTTCCCAGGGCATCTGCTCCTGGACAGGCTTAGAACAATTTAAGTGTTGACCGTGCTGTGTAGCTCAGTGCCCAGCCCACAGACAAGCCCAATGAACTTCAGGAAGTAGGCACTCCTCCCTCTCTGAGACTAGACCTTCTCAGGGCATACCTACAAGGTCAGACCTCAAGCAAAACAGAGAAGGTGGTGCTGCTGCCAATGCTCCATATCTACCCACAGCCTAGCAGTGGCAATACTCACCTGGAAGGTTCCAGTTCCTGCTCTGGTGACTGTTTCATGTGGAGCAGGAACTAGAATCTGATTCAGGTATATGACCATTTACAGCTTGACAATGTATTTACCCTCTTGACACAGTGCACAGTGATGATACTGAAAACATTATAAATGGAACCAACCTGATCTTCCCAGAGAAATTTTTCAACAGCACTGTACCCTGCTGCATATTTATGCTTCACAACAAGCTCACACCATCGATGTCGAACCTTTGGGAAAGGCAAGTAAATATTAAAATTAATCCAGTATCTGCAGAAACAAATGCAGATAAATAATACATTTCTCAACAACATTCATTAAAGCATTTGGAGAAAATGTGCTTTGTGAAACTCATTTCAAGTACTTCAGCATGTCAGTCTTGTTTATAAACCAATGTGCCTCTAAATATGGGTGCAGAAGTTATGATTAATGACAGATGCTGTTTTTAGCATTGGAATATGTGCTTTTGAACTGCAATAGGTAGTATTAATAGTATTCAGATTAACAAACTGCCCCACCTAAAATAAAAATAAGCATCAATTTTTGACCTCCCATGTATCTGGAAAAACAACCATCTTCAACTTGTTAATGAACTGGTGTGTCCACCTTCAGCTTAAGGTGCCCAATCTGTTTAAATTATATTTATTGTAAAAACATTTTTCAAGATACAGATGGATCAGAAGAAACACTTTCCCCATTTCTGTAATAACTCTTAAGACAAAAAAAGAAGAGGAAGTGAATGCGTCAGACATCTGAAAGCAGACACAGGATACAACTGAACAATTTCCTTGGGTAAGCGTCTAACCCAAGAGGTGACGAGGCTAAAGCACATTTTTGTACCAGCTGTATTTCTGGGACGAGTGCTGTATCTACACTGAGATTAAAAGGATAGAAGTGAAATACAAAAACATGAAACAAAGAATTTACACTTGAGTGAACCAGAGCTCTGCCAATACAGCTCTGCCAGAATGTGTCTAAATCTATTCATGCTCAAGAAACAGGTCTCTTGTACAAATACACTTTTAAAGGTAGCTATTGGCATACTGAAGGAAAGCACAGAATCCTGCATACAAACGCCTAGTGAACAACATGGCTATTTAAGTAAGCTGTGCAGACAATCCAACTTTCAAATACAATTTCTTTATTTTTTCTTGCATTCTGCTGCTTTTAAGTTACTGGGTTTGTTTTTAACCATTCACTGCTGTGGCTTTAAGTGTCGCCTTACACTACATCAAGGTTTCTTCAGTTTTAGTCGATGAGAAATCTACCATTTTATATTCCATTAGTGGCTCAGCACTGGCCCTAAAGGAAAGTAGTTAAGTGCATTAAAAAACTTACGTTACAGTTTGTTTTTGCTGCCTTTCAGAAGACAAGCCAATATGCCAATAGCTACCTTTATGATAATCAGCTTTTGTAGTAGTCCTAAAATGTAAGTAGTCTGACTGCTGCAACAGCACTAAAGTCCAAAATGAAGACTTCTCAAAGCCTGTGCTCAGCTGCTGTCCAACCCTGAGGCACCAGAGTTTTCACTGGTAACGTTTATTTGACACTTGGAGATCTTGAGGATGCCAGCTGGCAACTTGGTGGCTGACTCCATTGGGATCCACAAACTGCACTCCTCCACATATCTCACCTGCAGGGCCAGATGCAAACAAAGAACATACTTCCTGGACCACAGCCACAGCAATAGGAGGGAGGAGGAAAAGGAAGGTGTGGGGGTAGTGATGGTGCCAAGCCCCATTCTCTGACAGCTCTCACCCAGTCCCACCTCTGCTTGAGGAGAATTGGAGCTGCAGGTCTTGAGTGCTTTAACAACCAGGCTACAGGGTGTCCTGAGACAACAGCTTTCTCAGTTCCTCAAGAAGCAGTTTCACTTTGTAGAAACTGATTCAGCACTAAACTGAGCTAGGGGCTCTCCTGCTCTCCCAGTATTTTCTCTGGAGAAGGGGGTCACTGAATTTGGGCTGTGTATTCCAACAGGGAACAAAGCATCCAGAAGTTAGGTGGTGCAACACACAATGCTGCTCCTCGCAAATCTAGCATCATAATCTCACTAGCTTGTGTGGAAGAGAAAAGAGGCTCTCACTTCTTGCTGTACTAGGTCTCTTATACTGTCTAGACTACATGTGGCTCCCTGTTCAATATTTATCTGTGTTTGATGCTCTGATCTACAGCTGCTTCCAGGAGGGGAAAAAATGGAATTGGTAAACCATCTATTTCCTTAGGTTATCACTTTCTCCACAAGGTTTTACACTTAGCCTCAATTAAAATATTTAGAAAAAAGGTCTCTCTACTGAACCAGGTTTGGGGCAGCGCACATTTCCCCTTTCGGGATCAGGAGGAGGAGGAGAAGGAGTAAGTGGCAGTTTCCCAAAGGCGAAGTACAGAGAACACGCTGTTTGGGGCAGAAGCAGCATGTCTCTCCTCTTCTGCAGGCAACATGTTTTCCTCCTGTTTCCACAAGGGCCAAAAGGCACTTCCAGTGGAACAAACTGCTGGAGTGAGTCCTGGCCAGAGCTCATGCAGATGCAATATTCCACTCACTCCCGTTTATTTATTCATTAGTCATGTGCAGTGGCTCCCAGCTAACAGCAAGCAGAGCTGCATGTGGCTTAGCTTCAAGACAAGAGAAGGCCAAAATAACACAACCACACCTTGGTTAAGGCCTGCTTTCAGCACGTACCAACCGAGCTGGTGCTGTAGTTTGCTCTAAGCTATAATTAAAATTAAATATAAACACGCTCAGATACGTATGCCATCAGTGCAGCATTGGGGAGTTCTAGTATAGATCAGGATCTAGTCCCCTGTTCATTAAATGAGCATTTTATTTTGCATGGGAAGGACAACGGGGGAAAGGAATATTCTAGCTCCTTGCTTTACTTCCAATACTTTAAAAAAGGTAGAAGTAAAGTGAGGCTTTGCAACAGTATTAATGTGCCATTTTGACAGGCATTTCAACAAACAGAGAGAAAAAGGAAATACTGACAACTAAGGAGCTTGTGGTGGGACTGGACGAGCCATCCAGCACCCTGCATATGCCTCTTCTCTCCTTTTCCTGTTCTCTACGCGGCAACAAGGCAGAAAAGATTTGGTGACCAAAATGAGAACCAATTACTCCTTTTTTTGATTACACCGAGAGCAGGTTGGTCTCTCTCCCCTCCCTCTGCCCTTAGAAGGTTTGGAGGTAAGCACCATGTGTTGTTTTAGCTAGTTGCACCCGAAACAGCACAAACTGAACCAAAAAGGTAATTTACAGTAACTCTTCCTGTTGCTGCTGGCACAGTTGATTGTGCTTCATCTGGCTCTTTTATGTGCCTCAGATCTGAAGTAACACCTGTAACCACACAAACACAGTCTGGATTTGGCAGCTGCAGGGGCCAACATGCCAAACTCTGGAATGTAATTTATTTTCTCAGCCTCAGGATCTGGGTTTATGGTTGTCCTTCTGACTGTCTTAACTGCTGCCTGACATGCAAGAGGAGGGAGGGAGGAAAGCTTTAGGGGCTCAGGAACTGTCTACAGGTCTAGTGGGAGGTCAAGTTTCTAATGGATCACCTTGATCTGCTGAAAATGTTTGCATGTTCCTGGCCTCCAATCAGGCTTTTCATAGATTACATTGACATTTCTACCATTTCCCTTTTAATAGCTGGACAACTGTTGTCACTATGTATGAGCTCCCTGCGAATTGTAGCATATAATCATGTCGGCACAATTCAAGGAGGGAGAATTATTTTTATTCAGTGCTACAGATAAGCCATTTGAAAATAAGCCCTTTCAATTTCATGACAGTTACAAAGTAATCACAAATTTTTTTTTTGGCCAACCCCAAGAAGGAAGATCTTAAAATAATTACTCTGACCCCACACTGGAAGCTTTCTAAAAACACAAACTTATGAAATATAAAGATACTAGAAGTGTCTCAATTTTGTTTGCATTTAAAAATGGGATTTAAAAAAAGTTTTGTGGTTTTGGTTGCAACTTAAATCTGGAAGCCTTTTCCTAATGCAACCAAACCAGAAAATGAAAATGACTAGAAACCAAGTGACACCAACTATATACTTTAAAAAAAGAAAAGAAATGCACAATCCCCCCCTCCCCCCAAACCCCCAGCATAAAGAAGTTTTACTTTAAAAGAAATTCATAATGTTAGTATTAATACAGATATAATAGGGACATTTATTTATTTGTTTACATATACATGCCAAGATACTTGAAAAAGAGCTGGGTAGCTAAGTAGCAAAATAAATAGCCTGATTTTCAAGCATGCTAAAAGACTAGCAGCTGCTCAATGACACATCTTTATTTTGACAGTACATTTTTAGACCACTTTAAAACAGTCCTTGAAGTGAAGTCATTGCATTTAGCATTTGAAACCTAATTCACTGATCACTTTGCCTATTCTTCTCATGACTGCAAAACCAAAAAATAGCCAGACGGGCATAGACAAAATGCACGCACGGCTAATATACTATATCATAATGACAAACATTACTGAGATTCTTCATCCTATGCATGCAAACAAGGAAACATATACAGAGACAATATTTTACCTCTGAGGCTTTCAAATAAGCTTTAGATGGCAAGTAATTTAAACCATACCTTTTATTAAAAAGAAAAAACAAAAAGAGTTTGTGCTAAGCCTCTGGTCTGCAGAAGGGAGACTGGCTTCAGGGGAAATGCATAAATATTGCTAATAGCTGGATCTAATTTAAGGTGTGCCAGGAGACGACAAACTGAAAACTAAGAACAAAAGCAACATGTTTTGCAACCCTAGAAAATAAAGCATTTTCTAAAAATCTAGAGGAGTCTTTTAATAAGTCGTGTTGTCAGACTTAGGCAAAAGCTAACAAACCTACTTGACCTCAAGCAACCATGGTTCAGCCACGCTGCTGAAAGGTAAAAGGTTCAGAAAACTAGAACTATAAACCTTGCAATAACTAGCCACTGATAACCCTCATGTAAACACAACTGGCAACTGAAGATACTCTTTGTAGATTCGAGTCTTTTTCCAGTCAGAAAAATACAAAGAGACTTTGACAAATAATTAAACAGTGAAACAATAGATTATTTTTAATTAAATGAGGAAGAAGGTGGATATTTTCCTGGGATGCCGCTCTCTTCCATCTGAAAAATTACAATGAAAGAAGATTATCTCCTTATCTCCTCAAATTGGATTCAGCTATTGACCAACTTTGGGAACAATTAGGGAACCTCTTGGAGTGTCACAGAC